TTTAACTCTATCAGGTCTATCTTGGTATAGACCACCATTAAAGGCTAATAGAGTAGTTAAAGACATAAATCAGTTGTAAGTCTTTTCTTTCTATCATAGGCTGTTATTTGCAATGCAAACGACAGTTAGTGAATCACAATGAAGGAAGGTGTTGGACACCCCCACAATTACACGGTTATCACCATGTTTCTTAGCCACTCAGCTTCTTGGGATAACCTCATTATCTTTCATAAGAGGCGGTTAGCCCTTTTCTACTCAAGTTAGGGTTCTCTTTGGGTCTATCTCAACATAGACCATGGTAGCCATTTTCCACTCAAGTTAGGGATCTCTTTAGGTCTATCTCAACATAGACCATCCCAATTGAGTATAAGAGGCTAAACTTCCAATGTGGGACAACATGGATAGGCAAAAGGAAGCCTTTCCTTTTAAATGCTCCCAACAATCCCCCACCATTAAAGGGACTTAGGCTGATACTGTCATTGCCTGACAACGATCAAAACAAATTTTCATGGCAGTGTATAAAACTTGAACTGTCATATAGTGACATTAAGTACTTCTCTAAACGGGAGTGAATTTGATCTTGAACTCATCGAATAGACAAAGTTTGAACTTAACGCACTTAATTTGCTTTGGTCGCTTTAAAATATGTGAGGTCATACTCTTGACCCTGAGATATCCCCTGTTAGGCCTATTCTAGAATAGACCTTCAACTCTGTCAAGTCTCCCTCAACGCAGACCACCATGACTGGCTACAGAGTATCTATGGGCACCACGAGCACTTTGTACTCATGTCATTATGCGGTGAATTCATTAGGTTTGTCTCAACAAAACCACCCTTTCTCAAAGAGTTATGAATTCATTAAGAGTTGTAGCTCAACCTCACATGCGGTGAATTCATTAAGAGTTGTAGCTCAACCTCACATGCGGTGAATTCATTAAGTTTGTCTCAACAAAACCACCCTTTCTCAAAGAGTTATGAATTCATTAAGAGCTGTAGCTCAACCTCACAGGTACACACACTGTCGGAATGACCAACTAGTGTACTATTTTGTAACTCTTTTCATGGTTTCGTTTGACCACAGAAGTGGGATCCACCACGAATTCATTACCACTTGGACTTTAAGTCCTTCCAATGAGTCAACGACTAATCCTCATAATTAGCCCTCAAGTAAGTTGATTCTCTTGACCAAACTTACATGCACTTTGACGAGTACTTCGTTTACTCGTAAATAATCCCTTGAGATTTTCATGTTTAACATGACACATTCTCGTTCATCATTATTCTCAATACCACATAGAAACTTTTGATGAAAATATATGGAGTTTATTACCCCCAAAATGCAACACTTACAAATATTTTTGTCAAGCGTATTTGATCTCTTACCCAGACTGATCTTTGGTGCCCAACTTTAGCTCCTTTGTAGACTGAGTTTTGCCGATTTGCTTTGTGGAGCATTATAGAAGCTTCGCACTCTGCCTGATACATGCTCAACAGTTGAATATATTTCAACAAACTTGGTTATCTCAATTGATCACAATTACCCTTTAACTAGGAATTATAGGTATTTCAGTATGACTCAACCAAGAGTTTAAATAATATATATACAAATGCTCATTGTTAATAAGCCATAGAAATAATGTTGTCCACATGCTACATCAAGTTGAACAACATGATCACAAATTTCACACCATATTCTTATAAGAAATTAATCTCATACAAAAGGAATATGTTTGAGTTCATATTTATTCGGAATATCTCTCAACAATGAGACTTCAGAGTTGCCACTAGCACAATTTTTCCTTCCCTTGAGGAATTTAAAACTCATATAAAGCATTCATAGGATGCAGATCAATATTACTATTGCAGTACTTCAATGACTTCTATTGCAAGGCTTTGATTGTAGTAGCAACATATGAAAGTCAACCTCATTTCAGGTAAAGATCAAGTGGCGCTCTAACTAGCCTGCATGATCAACACCCTACTTCTTAAAAACTCCCAGGTCGAGTGGTGAAACCGAAGTTTACTTAAAAACCATCTTCCTAGACAGAGTGTTCAAGAATGATGACTTTTCCATGTTCTCACTAAATTACAATTGAAGCCTATGATATATGCTCTTATTTTTATACAAATAATTTTAGTAAAAATTTTTTAGCAATATCTATGCACGAATTATTTCAATCAATGTCATCAGTATTCAAAATACTAAAGAAATAAGTACTACTAAGTAATCAAAATCTAGACAGCTCAACTAGAATTCATGTGCTACGATAACCATACTTCATGCGAACCCTTAGAACTAGAGCAAACATAGTTACTCAAAATAACTATTTATTTAAAGAGACTCAATACTCATCTTGCTCTGTTAGATTGACTTTTGCTAGTTTTGCCCTTGTGATGGTAGCACTGGTGTGCTCGGTGTCCTTGCTTTCTGCACGTAAAACACCTTCCTTTAAACTTTTTTATTTTTCTACTCCTTTCGTTGTAGACGGTTCTGACACTTTGACTTTCAGTTCCATTGGCATCGTACTTTTCTGACAGTGATTCCCAAATGACTTTTGCCGAATCTTGTTTGACATAGATGTCGAACAAATCGTCATTCATTTGTGACAGCAGGTATCCTCTGGCTGGCGCATTGTCATTTCTAAATTGAATCAGAGTTACACCCGGTTCTTGACCCGGAATGTAATCTATTTCAGGACCGCTTTCTCTCGATTCTTCACCCGGAGTGTAATCAGGTTCATGATTACATTTTGTAGCACCAAACGGAGAGAACACTGTTGGAGTAAGTTCAGGTGCAACTGAATATAGCACGTAAACCAACTTTAATTGTTCAAAAAGAATAAGCATTCTTTGAGCCCATCTGCTGTAATTTCTCCCATCAAGCGCGGTGATTTTTGATAGATCCGGTATGACAGAAGGTGTCATAATGCTAAAGGTTGACTGTTGCAAAATAACGCTTTTAACTGTTGGAGAAAATGCAACGTCAACGCGCGATCTGGAAGCCTTTTAAGAAGCACGGACACTATTGGTGTATGGTTGAAAGGAAATCTGTGCCGTGTTATAATAACACTACCTTAAAAGCGTTATTTGCCCGGTAACGGTGCAGTTAGAATCCTGGCACGCTTTCGACAGGCTACACAGATCTACTACGGATAGCTTGCACTAGCAATCGCGTAGGCGAACCTCACTATTGCTCAGACGAAGGGAGGGAGAAGGAGAATAGAATAAATGACTCGAATTCAAGGTGTGTTTTAAAACGATGTTGGGAGCTGCTATTTATAGTAAGCAGCCCCCTCCATCCAACCACAAAAAGGATGAAGTGTGTTGTCCACACACTAGCGCAAAATGTGCTGCTCCTAAGAAAGGAGCGCACTGCGCTGCCACACAAATAATGGAGAACTCTAATTCTCCATTATTTCCCATAACAAATGTTGAAGTGTTATGGAGGTGGACCAACATCACATTTCATATTTAATTTTCCAACATCTATCTATATCTATATATCTATATATATTATATAAAAAGACAATTGCTAGCTGATTTAATACTTGGCTTTAGTATAAAAATACCAATAATGCACCTTAGTACGTCTAGATTTATAATGTCTACCATTAACTTTTTACAAAAAAATGTATTTGTCTGAATGAAGCTTTGGAGTCCCGCGGTGAATGGTCGTACAATATACCTCCCAGAAGGTAAGTGCAACTGATAGGTTTTATAGTTTAACTACAATCTGTTAAAAAAGAAAATAAAACAAGCATACTCTCATTTTGATTTTCAGTAGGACAAAGGACCAAACTGCATTCAAGCATGACTAATGGACTCGGAGTGAGAAATATGAGTATTTGTAAATATCACAAGAATGCAAATTAAAATGATTTAATATTTTTCATTTTATCAGGGCATTCTGTACATATAACTAATATTGTTGTTTTAAACTTATCTTGATGTAGTGCTTTAAATCTGAGTCTAAAATGTTGTTCTGTTATACATGTGTGATTACCTGTCGCCGGAGTAGCCGATGCCGGAGAGCCAGAGTAGCCGATGCCGGAAAGGGAACTGGAGAAACCGATGACGGAGATTCGGAGGAGATCTAGAGAAGGAAGAGATTATTGACAGATGGAGTAGCGGCGCAATAATGGATTAGGATATATATCCAACTAAGCTTTTAGTTGAGATGGAGCACATGCTTCAATTATGACAACGTACATTAACACATATTATAAAGGCCTATTTTATTATATATTACATGATTTAAAAATTTTAAATTTAAATACATAAAATGTACGTATAAAATGAAAACAACACCTAAACTACATTATTATATAAGTTAATAAATAATATTTTGTACAGGCAACAAAATGATATTCATTCAACTCATGTAGATAAAATTAAAAAAAAAAAAAGTAAAATTCACTAAGATCCATATACATATCTAAATTACAAATTACTAAAGACTTCCTTGAAAACAACATTTGTAATTGAAGAACAATATTCTCCCTTCTCATCGCACATTAAAATTTTAAAACTCTCAATGTAGCCACATATAATTAACCATGTACAAATAATAAATTCAATATAAAAAATATACAAAAAAAATTACATAATTAAATTTATATATTGCGACGCACAAATAGAACATATTATAAAATTCATGTAATAAGAAATTAGTACAACATAAATACGATCAATGATATAAAAATATATTATACAATTATTAAGTGATACTGTATAAGATTATTAACAAAAAAATGTGATTGCATGTAAATTCTTTTTTTTTTTTTGCCAAATAATAAATTGACCATAGTATGATATATTTTTTCCATAAATATTATCATATCATACACAAAGATGATATATGTACATCAATCTATACATAAAATATAAAATAGTACAAAAATGGCCCAAATGACCCAATACTTCTGCAACCCAAATTTTGTCCCACGGCCCATAGATAAAAGGAAAAGAAAAATCCTAATTTTCAAACAATAATCTTCTTTCTTCCTCCCTTCTCGCGTCTCCTCCTTCACTCTCACTTCTCTCAAACTTAATCTAGAAGGTTCACTAAAGATTTAGCAACCAATCTGTACTCATTTCATTCTTGTGCTGAAAGATTGCACTTAGCCAAATCCCCCTTCTTCAATCTTGACAGTTCACACATCGTCAACGATTTGAACCAAAAAACCCCAAATCCATAACCTACGGATGCTTGGATCTCAATTGCGATACAAAAACAAAGTCGTTCTGTGAGGTTATAAGATCATTCTACAGTATAAAAGGACAGAGAAATGCATCCAAACACAAGCCATAGGTAATATACGGTTTTCCCTACTTTTTTTTTTCATTCTGTACGGAAATGTATGTATATTTTGTGTTTTTTTGGGTGCATGTATAATATATAAATTCCATAGTTGTTAGAGATAGGAATCTATGCTTAAATCTGTATCATAGTTGAAACTGATCATGTTTGTGTCTGTGTGTGTGAGATAATATTTGTATTTTATTTTCTGTGCATTTATATTATGTAAATTGAAAGGTTGTTAGGGTTAGGATTTTTTTACTCAATCAGTAGCCTATTTTGAATCTAACTGTGTGTCCTTTGTTTGTATGCACATTTTTGTTTGGCAAAATTCTGTTTTTTTCAAAAAAAAAAAATAAAAAAAATTCTATACATCCATATTATGGAAATTACATGTTTGCTACGGATAGGACTTTGTCAACCCATCCTTACCCTAATTTAATATTGAGTGTGAAATTTGTTAACATATAATTTTTTCAATTTAAAATTGTTTACATATTCAGTAATTACCAAAAATAAAAATAAAAATAAAAATACAACATATACACACAAATTATAAAAGAATTATAATTTCCTTTTATACTCCTTATAAGCACCCATGCAGTATAGGAAAGGGATTCATATCTCAATATCCTGACAATTTTTTATGTTTTTTTTAGCTTTTGAATTGTCTGTCTCAACTCTCAAGTTTGTCTCAAGTTCTTTTCACATTTCATTCTAAAATACAACATTATCTAAGAAAATAGATAAAAGTCTTATAAAGTACATAATATGCAGATCATTTATAGGAAAAATACACAATTCTCATATATTGCAAAAATTGAAAAAATTTTAGTATTCACATCTACCATTTTTTTTCTCTTGACCTTGTAAATGTATAAGTTTTGTTATCTACCTACTTGGAAAGAATGAAATCTTATGATTCAACCCAATCAACATGTATTTCAATCTGCCTTCCTGCCACGATCTGTTGCATTTGCAGCAATACATCAGGCCTTCCCGTGGAATGAGTTTTTTGTTACATGCACCACCCTTGCATGAAACATAGAACCAGTTTGCCAAACTCTCTATTCCTACCATCTTTGCTGCAATCCAACACTCCTCCAGCTGTATTTGTAAAATATTACTTAAGTACTATTAACAATGCAAAAACATATGTCAGTCTAATATTATGTGAACTAAAAAAAAAAATCTTACTTCTTTTCTTTGATAAATCTCTTCAATAGTAGACACAACCATGTCATCACTCACCGAATGTGTAACCGACATAGACAAAGAGAGTCTAGACCCTGAATCTATACTCAATGGTGTGTGATGTTCTGGCAAACTGGAAAAAAACATGAGGCAAAAATAAATAAAATTAAATAGAGTTGTATATCAGTTAACAAAAAGAAAGGTTATTCTAACCTATTCCTAAATGCCCAAAATTCCGGGGAATCGTGGTTGAACAATAACTGTGTGGCATTAAAAGAGCCCGCAATACATAAATCACCATCTGAAATAAAAATAGGAGCCAAACTCATTAAAAAACCAGAATTGTACACAATCTGATAAATGTTACATAACTCATTTTAAGCCACAAATATTTATAAATACTCTTAAATCTGAATTGCTCTTTGTATGTACACAATAATAACATAACTTACTGTCCAAGATCTTGCAGTCTGCACAGCCAAATCTGATAAATGTTAACATAACTCATTTTAAGCCACAAATCTTTATAAATACTCTTAAATCTTAATTGCTCTTTATATGTACACAATAATAACATAACTTACTGTCCAAGATCTTGCAGTCTGCACAGCCAAATCAAAACAATTAGGGACTCATCCATACTACAGTTGTAATATGGGAGAACCTTGTTAACATGCTCACCCTAAACTGTACACTTTAGCTGCCTGTGACTGAATTCACAAATTTGAATACAACACTTTATACAAAATACATTTTCTTTTACAAACCTTTTTACCAAACAAACTAAAAACCCAGTGCATATGAAATTATAGTCTTACCTAGCATCCTCAATAAGAAAATCTATCACCCGTGTTTCTTTTCCAGATATAACTTTGTCAAGTGGAGAGTATATGTCCAATAACATCTATAGTTACACAAGAAGAAAACATATTTCAGTTACATGAAGAAAAAATACAGCAGTAAAGAAATGATTGAATAAAAAATACCTATTAGTTCTTTCTTGTCAACTTCTCTTTTGTCTAGCTCGTTTCGAATGACTTTAAACGAAACATTTGGTTAGGGAATTCCACTATCTTGTACTCCTTCACAGTTGTGTCATGCTTAAACTTTACCATGTAAAGTTCTGTGATTATTTTATACTTTAAGAAGTTTGTAATGACCAGGAAATTCTTTAGGCCATAAACCTTCCCTTCTTTGAAATGATTTTTGTATTTGTCTACATGTTCCTTTGGTATATGAGCATGCACAAATGTTCCTAAAGTAAGTGAAAAATATAGTTATTTCCAAAGCTATAATATGTTATATACAAATACATTTATTAAATTATGATATAAAAGAAAACTTCATTAAATTTTGCATTACTCACCTCTGCATCATGGAATACACATTCTCTCTCGGCTCTTGATTATACTTTTGCATTTAGCTTCACATACTTCATAGTTCATATGTATGAACTAACCTCACTTCATGACTTTCCTTGTCTGAGCAGGGTGGAGTTGAGTAGCAAGAACAAATTTTCAGAAGCAAGAACAAATTGTCCTGCCATGAGGGTTGCTGCTAAATTCAATTGCCCAAGAAGTTGAATTGTATTTGTGTTGTGTTTACCATGTAACCTTGGCTATATATATACACAAAGGACTGTAGAATCAAGTAGTACACTAATAGGGTAAGAGGGTAAGTAGGACACTAATAGCTTTGAAAGACTTTTCTCCAAAACCATACGGCACCTTCAGAGGTTTACTGCTTATCTATGAAATTCTATTCACGCTATGAAATTACTCTATTCACGCTATGAAATTATTTTATTATATAAACTGCTATAGGTTTACTGCTTATCTATGAAATTCTATTCACGCCTAAAATTTAGGCGAAAAAATATATTTTGTTTTTATTTTCTCACCTGAAAGTTAGGCGAAAATAGTTTATTTTTTCAGGATTTGATTTATAGTAATAACATTTGATTATTATTTCGCCGAACCAGTGGCCGATAATAGAATTCATTAATTCATTTCAATGGCCGAGTAAAGAATTGTATATGTTCATTGATGAATTATGTGATAACATTTATTTATTTTACCTTAACAGTTATGGCTCGGAGAATGGTCAATTCCGGTCCAATCGACACGTCTGTGCTGACAATACAACACAGTCATCGTTCAAGATCTATTTGGACAGATGCAAATGTTGCAAACAATCCACAGTTAAAGAGTTGTCGATACGAAGGGAATTTAGAACCACCGCGAGATCACAGAATGATCCAAAACTTGCGCATTAGCGGTTTTTATGGTGTGGCGCTCATTGACCGCGTTAGGTTAGATCATTCATTGATCTGTGCACTTGTTGAGCGTTGGCGTCCGGAGGTCCACACGTTTCACCTACCATTCGGTGAGGTCGGTATAACACTTCAAGATGTTGAAGTGTTATTTGGATTAAAGGTGGATGGTCTAGCTGTTACGGGAGTACATCAACGGACTAAACAACAATGGCAGTTTATGTGCGATAAATTGTTGCGTTTCGCTCCTCCCGCTGCAGCTTTTCGAGGCCAAAAAATAAGTATGGTGTTGCTTCTTGACATTCCAGAGTTGACAGATGCGAGCACAGATTATGATGTCGCGTTTGCAACGCGCGCGTATTTAATACGTGTGTTAGGGGGCTTTCTATTTCCAGACACGTTGAACAGCTTGTTAAATCTTAACTTGCTGCCGTTTCTGGAAGATTTCGAGGAGAATGGTCAGTACAGCTGGGGATCAACGGTTTTGGCCTATCTGTATAGAGCTTTGTGCAGTGCCTCTGAGAATGACAGAACTCATGTGTGCGGGTGTCTACTCCTTTTGCAAATTTGGGCATGGGAGAGGCTACCAATGGTAAGACCGCAGGGCTTTTTACCCGCACATGACGGACAAGACTTGCCACTTGCATCACGGTTAGTAGAAATATTAATTCTACAAAAACAACTTCGTTTTAGCACAGTATACTCTTCTTGTCCTTATTTAATTTCTCTTACAATTGCAATTCTAGGTGGGGAGGACCACATGCTTGGGCAACTGTGCCGAACCAGGTGAAATTGCATATATTTGGAGTGTTCAGTGGCCTAATTGCACTTTTTTTTTTCGTTCAGTGATCTAATTGTATTTTCAGGTTACGTTTAGTGGCCAATTTAAACCTTATTCCATTTATTTGTGTGACAGTTATATATAATAAATCTCTCATATATTATTTTGCATTTATATACTTTAAATTACTGATTTAAATAAACAAATTCAACATTTATTTAATTATGCATGAACATCTTCTATATAATATTGCATTGATATACTTTGAAATACTTATTTAAAAAGAATTATTAGACATTATCCTATAGAAAAACTAGTAATTATATATAAATAGGAACTCCGCCGAGGAGACGAATCCCCTAACCAACACCTCAATTTGCTTAGAATCCCATAAAAAAGCTTCCAAAACTCGAATCAACCCTGGACGCTTCTTCCGATTTCCTCCATCCCCGTATTACCAAAACAGCAACAAACCCTCTCTTGTTCTTCTTTTTCTTCTTCTTGGGCATTTGATTTTCAGCTTTTTTTATTTTTCCCTGGGGGAGCAGAAAAAGAAAGAGGAAAAGTGGGCAATGGGTTTGATTCATGATGGAGAAGAAGATGAGAAACGGAGTATATCTCGCGACGGGGTTTTGATGGCTCCGCCGCCCAATTTTTCCGCTGTGGAAGCTAAATGCATTTACCGATCAGGATTTCCCCAGCCCTCCAATTTTCCCTTTCTTCACTTCCTCAATCTCCGCTCTGTAATGTATGTATCTTGTTTTCTTCAATTCGGTTGTTGTTTTTTTTTTCTTTAATTTATTCTTCTTATCCTTTCCCGTAAATTATTTAAATCCATTATATTTATTGTTCTCATTTGACCCTTTTCTCCATTTCTTGATTTCAATGGTGTTTTTGAGCGCAGATATTTGTGCCAAGAGCCGTACCCGGATGAGAATAAGGAGTTTCTTCGACTTAACAATATTCAGCTTTTCCAATTCGGAATAGATGGCACAAAGGTATTGTCTTTATGCTGCTAATGATGTTATTAGTACTGTATTAACTATTCACTTTCAAACAAATTTAAGAGAATTTGTTGTTATGAGACTGCAAGTTTTACATTAAGGAACTCACATTTTGAATTCTAGAAATGCATTTTTATTTGGGAGAGAGATTTGTATAGGTAAATAAGGTCATATGTATATATATATATATATATATATATATATATATATAGGGAGAGAGAGAGAGAATCATAATCAGTTAAGAACCAACCTTAACCTGCTAATTACGAACTTTTGAAGGATTGTACAGCAACTACTACATGATTGCACCGTTACGGCTCCCAAACATCCCTAGACATCCTGGAGGACCTTGCGGTGCAATTGTATCCGGGTTCGGTGCAATCATATAGTAAGTTCAGTGCAATTGTATCGGGGTGCAGTGCAATAATATAGTAAGTGCGGTGCAATCCTTCGGAAGTTTGCAGGTTCGCACGTTAAGGTGAGTTTTCACCTGATTATGGACCTATATATAAATTTTTAAAAAGATCTGTTTTCTTTTCATCTTTGCTACTTGATATGTTTGAATTAGTGTCCATTTCAGAAGTAGCCTTTTTTGATCTGTTTTTGTTTTTCTAAGCTTTTCCATATCGTTAATGAGAATGCAGTGGTGTTTTAGAATTGAATTATGTTCTTTTATGTGGAAAGAACAAAAAAGAAAGAAACATAGGTTACCATTCCACAAGCCTTGGCTTTCTGATACCCTTTGCTGCTTGATAGAGATAAAATTATGTTACATGTTTCTATGTTGACTGTTGTGCTCCCATTTTCAGGTTTTGTAATATTGGTAGCGCCTTCGTTTTTTTTTTTTTTTTTTCCTTTCAGGAGCCATCCACTATTCCCATGACTACCATAACCGAGGCTTTGAAAGTTTTAATTGGTATTCAATCTTATCATTCTTCTCGTTCGTTGATTATCAATCTTTTCTGTTATTCTTCCCCGTGTAATGAATTTCTTTCTTTAATTGTGTAGATGTGAGAAATCATCCGGTCCTTATCCATTGCAAGCGCGGAAAGGTACTGCTCAAAATCATCCTTTCTTGTTCATTCACCTGTCTGAATATATGACTATATTGTGCTCTGACATTGGTGTCGTTAGGTAAAATCTCATGACAGCCATTTAATTCGTGGCTTGCGATTATAGATTATGAATAATACATAGTCTACCCTGGACTGATTATCGTCAACTTATATTCTTATAGAAGTGTATAATTGAATGTATAACCTCGAACTTGATAGTTTGATTAAGTGAAAATTGCCTAAGTTATAGGGAAATTGTAGGATTTGTCCCTATTTGCTGGTCGTGCTCACTTTTCATCCCTAAACTATAATTGACATTGCAAATTTTGTCTTTTCTCTAACAAAACAGTAGGGACGAAATTTGCAATTTTAGTTATAGCGTAGGGACGAGAAGTGAGAGCACGACCAACAAGTAGGGACGAGAAGTGAGCACGACCAATAAATAGGGACGAGAAGAGAACACGACCAGCAAGTAGGAACGAATACAGCAATTACCCATTACCTTATAACTTAGGACAAAAAGTGCAATTTCCCCTCTAATTAAATATCAAATGAGTCCAATATGACTTTAACCCAACACTATTTATGTTTTTTTTGTGTGTTGCAGCACCGAACCGGGTGTTTAGTTGGGTGCCTGAGGAAACTGCAGAATTGGTGTTTGTCGTCTGTGTTGGAAGAGTACAAGCATTTCTCGGGCACGAAGTGGAGGGAAACGGACCTAAGGTTTTTGGAGACGTACGATGTGTCGTGTGTAAGGCATTGCCTCCAGAGCGTTATCTATCGCTACTACACATCGAAGAATAGGCGCATACTCCACAGAGAAGATTGCGTAAAGAAGCCGGGGATAGCTTCTATTTAGCGGTCGGTCGGGCAGGCAGGCAGGGGTGGAGCCATCTTGGTTTTTAATATGGGATTGGATTCACCAAAAAGACATTGTGGTGTTAGAAGTTGCTGCAGCAGATTCTTCTTCTTCTTCTTCTTTTTATATGTTCATTTACTTGAAAATAGGAACTAGTTTAATTTGTTATATTCCCGGCGCAATATAAGCTTGTTGTGCCTGTGATTTCATTACTGTCAAGGATGATGGACATTTTACTTCCAAGGTGAAATCATTAATACAGTTTCTAAAGTATTTTATTATTGTTATTAGTAGTAGTAGTAGTTACGTCTGTAACATGGCCTTAGTAGAAAATACACATTTGTTTGAACTTAGTAGAAAAGTATGGTATATGGCCTATTTGGTAAAATAGTTAGCTTATCAATTAATGTTGGCTTATTTGACCAATATTAATTGTTTGATTTGGTTAAAAAATTAATACAAGTGTTTGGTTAATTAGTTTTTTATAATTCTAAAATGTTAAAATAAAAAAAGCTGTTCAAATCAACATTTTCAATTAGCTTTTTGAGAAAAGAAATTATATTAAACAGCTATCAGTTAATGTTATCAATTAGTTATATCTTCTAGTTAATGTTATAAACTAGTTATACCCTCTAGAGATGCATTATCTTTGTAAAAGAGAAGAAGAAATGCAGGAAGTTAACCGATCTACCAAAAACTACAGATGTACGTTAATACAACACCAAATCGAAATTAAAAATTAAAGTGTATACATTTCCCATCTCCAAGGAAAGAAATATCCCCATCATCAAGTTTCATGACTTTTGAATAGCAGTCTCAAAATCCATCTCGTAAGTTGCATTACCAGCTTCCTTCTAATTCTGTGCCTACGGCTTCCTCTTCTCCTCCTCCTCCTCTAATACTTTCGTGGGCTTTGCCTCTGGCTTCAGCTATGGAGTAGGTTCTCTGATTTGACTGGCCGCTTCCTCTCCAGCGAGTCTTCTTCTGGAATCTCTACATCTAATTCAACCTGTAATGTAACGACATATTTATATTATTGAATTAGATGTAGAGGTTGGAGTAAATACTCATTTTGAATTTTTAATTTCATCTCTAATCAATTAATGTTAATCTTTGAGATATTGTAAAAGTCATTGCTTGGGTTGATAAATACACTTGTTTATCTGTGCCAAAAAAATACACTTGTTTATCTAGAAGATTCCTTTTATTGAGCGGGAAAATTTTTCTTAATTTTATTTTCCAAAAATGTTTGGCTTTATTATAGTATGCATAATGCATAATAGAGTTTTAATGAGTTGCAACATCCTACTATCCTACTAATATAATAAAGCCATAAGATTTTGGCCAATCAAATGGCTCCATTTTCCCGCCCAATGGAAGTGACGTCTTTGGCCATTAACTAATTGTGTTTGTATTGGAATTAAATATTAAGTTATTATTATCAACCACATTTTTGGTTTCCCAAATTTGTGGGAAGTTGTTCCGCCATTTGCATTAAAAAATACATCACTGTAAATTCAAAATAAAAAAGATATAAATACATCATTGGAACTCTACAGCCTTCAAACCTCTTCTATAAATCTTTGTATACACAAACAATCCACACATTGCATTAACCCACCGCGTGTTTATTATTCACTACTTAGACTTTGCCATCCATCTTATATAACCTGAAAATGGCTCCATTATTCATTTTAGGGAAGGACATCTGCAGAACTTGAAGGCCGAAACACTGAGGTAATGTTTTCTTTACAAACCTGCAAATAATGCATTCTTATTTAGAAAATAATATTTTCATTCTTGATAGGCACATATGTGCATGTAAACATTCCTAAAGAATATGTCCCACAATTTAGAAAACTATTAAAGGTAAAGTCTATGCTGTAAAAGATTTTGTGGTCATGTATCACTCATACATGCTCTACAGGTTCCAATGTTCCATTATCAAGAGGTCTGTTATCTTCTCTCTCTCTTTTTTTTTTTTTTTTTTTTTTTTTTTTTTTTTTTTTTTCTTGTTTTGTTGTGTGAGTGTAAATCAAGGGGTGATCTTACTAACGGTAAACCATCAACATGTCTATGCAGCAGATATCTGAATGTGACAAAAAGTACTGTGAAGCATTGGATGACATTCCTAAAGATTTACAGATATAGAAAGTTGAGGTAAGAAATCAATGAAAACAATAAATTACATAAAAAAAACATTGTCAATGCTAAAGGTAAACAAGCAGATGAGTGTATGCATTTAAATACAGTAGATAAATTATTCAACCAGATGAGTACTACCGTTTTACCTTTTTTTTTTCTTTAACACAGTATATGGTTTATTTCCTTTTAAATATTGCAGGGGAATTTTGTTCATGCGATGTTTCAAGGAGCATCTAGAGAACTATTAGACTGTTCTAGGCTTATTGATTTTGTTCATGCTTCTCTTAAGAAGATACATCTGGAAATGATTCACTAATTGTTGGAAGTTATTGCAATTTTGTTTTTTTTTTTTTTTTTTTTTTTTTTTTTTTTTTTTTTTTTTTTGCAGGGGTAGCATGTACCAGTGAACATGTGGAAGACTATTCTTATCTTTCAATAAAGAATAGTGTCAATTAAGGGTATTCAGAAACCAAGTTACATGAACAAAATGCAATGAACCAGTGGAGATTTTCTCTTTTTATACATGTAAAGTTAGCTAATTTATTGATTTTTAGTGTTTTTTTTTTCTTTACTTGCAGTCTGTTTTAAACATGCAGAGTAGACAAAAGGAAATGAATTAGTTTTTTGAAAAAAAGGAAATGAACACTTAACTTCACAGAGTATGTTATCTTACATACCCAGATTTCCTACTATATGAATGCATCTAACTATTTTGATCATCATCAGCCTATTCTGTGATGTGTGTGCCTTTTTTGAGAGTATGCACTTTTTAGAATTCCTTTATATGCTATGTTTTTTTGGTTTTATTTCTTATTTTGTTATCTCTATTGTTCTATATTCTAACTCCGTATTTTAGTTTACAACCACTATTCTATAGCTTTAACAACAACAAGGGTAAAATTACTTATGCACATGTTGTTTGAATAGAATATTAAGGCTACTTAGTAAATATCATTCTTATCAACTACAACAAGAAGGCTAAAAACTAATTATGCAGATTTTGAAGAAAAAATAGATCAAACTACGTCTTTGAAAATAAAAGAAAAAATATACCTTTGATAGCTATGTCTTCATACACATTTACAAACCAGTTTGATCAACTTCATACACCATGTAAATACAACATTAAGAAAACAATATCTCTTATCTGCTTTTCAAAACTATTCATCGAGCTAATCCTCACACAAAACAAAAGAAAAATGAATGTATTAGTTAGTAATAATTACGCAAAAATTATCAGAATGAAACAGGCAACCTTAAGTTAGAAATAGAAAATATTAGTGTTTTTAGCGGCAATCAAAATTTTGAGAGAATAAATCTGTATAATAGGTAGGCTTTTATGTTGATGTTGGTGTCAAGGTCGAAGAATGAAGAAAAGTAGAAAACCAATTAACCAAACCTGGTGGCTGGTGTCAAGGTGAGTGGCGCGGGAGCGGTCGGAGGCGGTGGACTGGCAAGCGGCAGCCGGCTGGGGCGGCACTGCAGCAATAGTGTATGGAGGCTGTGCCCTGGTCTCAGTCGCAGTCTCGCAGAGGACATGTTCGAAAATCGCAAAGGAAGAAATGCGGCTTAGTCTGTAAGAGAAGTGGAGAACAAATAATATATATATATATATATATATATATATATATATATATATATAGGGTCAAGTTTCTGTGAGAACAGGTCTTCCCGTGCGGTCAGTGCGGCATACACCATTAGGTATGTATAAATGTACCACACAGTGTCTAAAAATACACCATTATGTATGGTGTATTTTTTTTTTTTTTTTTTTTTTTTTTACTTCAGTCCCCACTCCTCACTTTTACTGGAGGCAGGGGCAGTGGGAGCAGTTGCCCCCACTGACCAAAATTACTCAGAGTTCGCAGAGGAAGAGAGACGAGCAAGTGGGAGAGAGAAGCTCTACAATATGTCTGGAGGACGAAGCCATGCCTCCAACCGTAACCGCGAGCCGGAAGCCGACTTGAGAGAATAGCTGAACCAACGAAATTCGCAAAGCCAGGAAAATGATTCGGCACCCCGAAACCGACCCCCGCCGATGATACTTCTCACCCCCGAGCAGATTCGGGCCATTGGACGAGCAATCGCTGCTGAAAATCGAGAAAGAGGAGAACCGTCGGCTTCACGACCACCACCGCGCAATCAGCAACCACCCCAAAGGTCGGATGGAAACCGACAAGGAGATCAACGAGCGGAAGATCCGCTGACGCGGTCAGTCCATTCGAGGCTAGGCCCAAATGCAACGCGCCAATCGGCGAGAAAACGATTGGGGGAAAGAGAGCCCAGCCGTGTACCGGCGAACCAACGAAATCGAGATGCCACCCGAGAGAGAACCCGTACCAGGAAAACTCGAACTCGGGAGCGACAGACCGAGCGACCTACCCGCAACGATGAGCGGCAGGTCGATTCACAGGTCGGCGAGAGTACTGAGTCCACAGGGAATCACACTCGAAACGCTGGAGACGTGGCTCACCTAGCCCAAGAAATGCGGAATCTGAGAGACCAAGTGGAAGGTAAGACCAAGTCCCCAGGTCGGACGTTGTTTACCGCCTTGCCTTTCTCGGCCGAGATCATGGCCTATAAGATACCCGGCGACTTCAAGTTCCCGGAGCAAGCTACTTTCGATAGATCCGGCGACCCGCGTGAGCATCTTTTGAGCTATCAAGCCAAAATGCAAGTCCTAGGGGTCCGAGACCCCGTCATGTGTCGCGCTTTCCTGCCGACATTGAAGGGCTCGGCACAGAGATGGCTAGTGGCTTTACCCCCGGGGTCGATTCACAGCTTTGAAGAGTTGGCTGACCGCTTCATGAGCCATTACGCGGCTAACATCAAGCCGCAGAAAGATCTAACACATCTGGGAGATATCCATCAAGAGGAGGGCGAATCTCTCAAAACCTACCTGGCCCGGTAGCAAAAAGAGATTCAGTCCATCGAAGAGGTCGAGGACCAGACCGCTCTCACCTTCTTCATCGAGTCCTTGCGGTCCGGGCAACTATACCGTGACCTGCAGGACAACCGGTCGGCCACCTACGCGGAGGCCATACACATGGCTAACAAACGGGCCAATACGGAGCAAGCTATGAAACACAAGCGACAGTGGGAAGTCACAGGATCCTCTGGTGGAAAGTGAACTCGCGTGGAA